TATTTTTCGTCTTAGGGACCATTTTGTAATTTTATTTGGAAGATATTTTCAAAAAGGACTTGTTTGCAATTTCCAGAAAGTGTAACAAGTGTCACACTCTCATTGGTCCACTTGTTGACATTTGTGTGGAAACATTTTGATGCGTTGGATGATGACATGTGGAGGGTGGAGATTCACCCACTTGTTGGCCTAGGATTGGTACACTTGTTGGCATGGATGGTTGACAAATGTAGGTTCAATATTAAGTCTTGGAAGTTTACATAGGATGGTGACAAGTGTAGGCTTGAGATTAAGCCTAGGAATGAACCATAGATTCATGACAAGTGTAGGTTCACCATTTAGTCTTGCATTATGTGTGTGAGAAAGGTAGTGTAAGAGCACATAGTGAGTGGAGGATTTCTAGCCCTTCCACTCACCATTTTACACTTTATCATTTTCATTTTCACTTGTCTTCAAGAACCATAACCTAGCCACAATTGGAGAAAAGCTTGGTTAATAGCTTTTTTTTCTTCATTTTGGCCTCCTTCCACTCACCATAGACATAAAACCTTGGAAGACAAAAGCTTCCTCTCACTCCCCTCTTCATTAACCCTAAACTTGTTTTCCATTTTGAGCTTGGTTGCTTGGATTATAGAGATTCAATTCTCTATTGAGGTAGGGGTGTTATCATTTATCTTCCAAATGACTTTATTTGTTCCTATAGTGATATCTAAGTTATATGTTTGTCTTATATTAAAATGAGAAATAAATGATTAATTGTGACTTGTATGTAATTCACTTTAGACTTGATAAATAACATGACCATGGCTTGATTCATAACTTATGTTAATTTGAGGTCATTTAGAGTTGTTTTAAAATCTAAAGGGATTAATGAATTAATTTAATTAATTTTTATTTATATGCTCCCATGACTTAAATCAAGTTTTGAAGTGAGTTATATAATAACCATGACATGTACTACGACATATATTAGATTGAGCATGCTTGGATGAGAAGTGAAATCTAGGGAATTTAGTTGTTTTATTAAATTGTTTAAATTATGATTTTTAACTTATATCATACTTGAGAGGTTATGTTCTTGTTGTTGAATGATATTGTTGTAATTAGTGACAAATAGCATAATGATCATTCAATGTTCTTCATGCCATTTTAGTTGAGAACTTAAGGCATGTATTGTGTTTCCAAAATTGATTTGTGCATGTTGATGGCTTTACATTGTATATATATATGTTATGTTGATACATATATGTAATGTGCACAAAATGTTGATTTTGGAAACTTGGGGATGTCGTTGTTATGACTATGGCTAGGGCATGATTCTAGTACGGGGGAAAGTCCCTCTACAAGTCTAGTGCGCACATAGGGAGGTTACCCATGGGCTAGTAACCCTAAAGTAACCACATTGTCGGTTTGATCCGGCGTGACGTCCAAGTATCCACTTTGGTTTGATTTGGCATTTAAATTCCAAGTTGTTAACTTTGTAAAATTACATCTCATTGTGTTATGTTGAAAGTTCTATTGTCACTTGATAGCATAAATTAAATGGTATTGGATTGTAACTTGGTACAAAGATAAACCCATGCATTCCCTACGAGTAAACTTGTTTACTCACCCCTAAGTTAATGGGTGTTTTGCAGGTAAAGAAGCCTTAGTGTGGGATGCACAGCATTCTTAGACTCACTAGAGTTCTTGAAGTATATTTTGATGACATAGAATATGCATATGTTAGCATATCTTGTCCTACTTTTGCTTACTTTGATAAAACTTGTACTTATTGTCTAAGTTATGTAATATGCACTTAAGTACACCTTTTGACACTCTTAGAATGTGGTTGTAATGAGGCCAAGGGCCAAATACACTTATGTGAAATGTATGCTAACTTTGAACTTCATTGTTGCCTATGGAAGATATGTGGATTAATGCATTGAAGGGTTCTATTTTACATATGACATGCCATGAGGCCATAGACCATTGCAACACATCTATTTTATCACATTACATATGCTTGCATGCTCACTTTGGCAAACAAAACCATCATTGATGAAACAAATACTCTAAGTAGCATTTTTAGGGAGTTTTACCCTATTCTGTTCTAGGGGAATTTCGGGTATTTCAAAATGCGTTTTTTCATTTTTCCTCGCGATTCACATAGAAAACTCAATTTTGAGAGGGGTTTCTTCTTTGTGTTTTTTCAGAAACTACCATCTTGGCCCTCAAAAATCGATTTTTTTCCGAAAAATCATTGCTACAAGGTTTTTGCCGACTTTAGTGCAAATATACTTGGTACTATTCATCAACTTTTTTTTGAAAAGCGTGACGACCGATCCGAAAATTCCGGGGGTCTTTTGGGTGTATTTTAAAAATTCATTTTCAATTTAGGCAATTTAAAAACCTTCCGAAGCCCCATTTCCTTTCTTTGGGCAGTAGCTTGAAACGATTTTTGACCTCTAGACCTGATTTTATTTTGGACCTTTTTCAATGCATTTTTTTGGTTTCCGTTCGCGTGACAGGTAGAAAACTTGATTTTAGGGGGGGTTTCTTCTTTGAGTTTTTCCAGAAAAGTCTATTTAGATGCCCGTTTTTACTCTCAGTTGCAGCAGTAGTGGGTAACGGCACTGTAGCTGTCACGGCATTCGTCGGGCCGCCGCGACGTCGATTTTGTTTTTAACCTTTCTCCCTCATCCGGACTCCAAATCAAGTGAGTTTTTTTTTAAAATTGATTAATTTTTCATTGTCTTTCCAGTGGTGTGCTCGATAGCACTTGAATCCATTTTGTTTTTGCAAAATGACCATTTTGCCCCTAGGTTCCTTTTTGTCCGTTTTTTAAACGACTCTTCCGCATTGGTTTTTCTTTGGGTTCCATGACCTCATTGAGGGTCACATTGGTGTCTTAGAGATGCATTGTATCTCTAGAGACCGTTGTTTTACCTTTCGCTTCCGCATTTCGGATCCGTTATCGGGTCATCTTTTGGTCATCACTGACGCACCGGGTTTACAAAACTTAGGCCGTCACAATCATTTTCTAGAATCATATGAATTTCAACATGTTCTTCAATGGTTAGAGTCAAAAGTATGAACTTTTGATAGTCTTACTATATAAGATTTACAAATTGAAATTCATGAAATGTAAAATGAAATAGAAGAATATAATTAATAGATTTTCAAACTATTAAGTATTGATGGGCTCATATAAATAATCCTACTACTTTCTGTTGGGAAACGTGCTAGTTTTAAAAAAATTTTGAGGGATTTTGATCCATAGATCTTGATTCATCACATAGAGACAAGTTTTATACAAAAATAAAATATGATGTATTATTCAATTAATGGATTGAATACTTACATCAAAGGTTTGAGTAAACCTTTAAATCTTTCATCTAAAGTGAATATTCTCACTTATTGTAGATCCCTTAACAAGATGCCTTCTCCTTGGATCTCCATCTTCTTAGTAATTGTTTTGCCTTTAAGAATCACTCATAAACCTCTATAAATGACCTTTAAAAATTATGCTTGTGGGAGCCTCCATTAGATGAGAACACTAACCCTAATTTTCTAGAGAGAGAAAATATATTCTTTTTTCCTTCTTCCAAAAAATCACACCTAAAATATACATAAATTATGTATATATATAAGCAACATAAAGATAAAAAAAAAAAAGGAAACAATAAATTCTTCTCAATCTCTAATTCACATGTCTCAAATCTAATAGGATTCCAATATCAAGTTGGGCTATGAGTGAGAATCCTTTGGGCTTATTATTTTATTAGCTACAATGAATTAATAATTGGCCCGGTCTATGGACCCAGTTCAATTAATTCATAAATTAATTTCTACTCTACTAAAAGAAATTAATTGAACTCCAATTAAATAATAATAACCTCTAAGTCAATGTTACACTTTGACCCCTCTATGCATAATTAGTTATCGGATAAATAAAGTCATCAATCTGACTACTTAATTAATATATTTATTTTGGTACCATTGATTATTTCTGGCTCGATCACAGTAAAACATTTGTTTGACAAAAATAATAATTTAAATAAATATATATATAATAAATTATTTTGTCTAAAAACACACGAAGGCCTTCAAATTTACTTTGTGATCAACCATAATCAATACAAAATAAATACAAGTAGCAATGATGCAAATATTGAAAATATAACCCTCTAACTATTAATTACATAACTACCCAAAGTGTCGGTCTAAGGATCCCGAAGTATCCGCCGAACAAATCAAATTAATTATTAATTAATAAAAGAGTTTATACTTTTCTCATACTTAAGAGTCAAATGTCATGACAGTGATAGGGAGCAATTGTATACGACAGCTCTCGCAATATATCTCAACTTAACGCGAATTCAGTTAAAGTCTTAATTAATTATGAGTCCATCCATAATTGTCGACTATGAACAATTTATGATTACTATTTATATTCATGTATTGATCGCCATCACATACATATATAAATATCTCTTGTAATTAAGTGGACACTATCAATTCTATAATGAATTGAAATATAATACATTGAATTCACCAATTGTATCAAGCATAAATATTTCAGAAACGTCAGGAATATATGTCACTATAATCCAAATAAGAATTTGCTATGTCAGGGCATATAGATCCCAACACTTTCAACATTTCAAAGAATTGGCTTGTTGGTTAATTAAGATGATATAATGAATATATTATACTAGGAATCAGGGGCAGAGCCAAGATTCAATGTAAGGGGGGGCGTAGTATTAACAGTTTTACTAATATAATATAATAATATTTTAAATTAAAAGTACTTCATGATTGATTAAATGCATACAAAAATATATCTAGCCAAAATTTGACCAATTTGTTTACAAAACAATAATTGGCCTATATCTAGTCAAATATGACATAGATAAATACAAAAAGAAACCTGAAAGACTAAACAACTACTACAAAAGCTGAGCTCGACGATCTTTTAGAGAAGAAAAATCATCTATAATTGAATTTGTACTAAAAGTCTAAGCAATTTCTTTTTTAATACTGACACTCAAGTAATCTGCAAGAAACTCATCATCTATCCTGTTGCGCAGTTGTGTTTTGACAAGTTTCATAGTTGAAAATGCCCTTTTTGTAGTTGCCGTGGAAACGGGAAGAGTCAAAACAAGATGAATCAACCTATCAATCAAAAAGTAGATTTTTGACTTGTTTGTTTCCACTAATCCTCTGCATAATTCAGAAATCATTGACATATTTTTCAAATATGAATGAACAGGCATTTTAACCTCATAATGTTGCAATTGGAATGTCAACATAATCCTCTCTTGGTCCGTGAAATCTTGAGGATAAAATTCATCTACAAACAGGCAAATGTCTTCAACGTTAAAGAACTTGTAACCATCTCTAGGATCCAAAGCTAAGCTGAGAGTAACAAGTTTCATTGCCTTTTCACTAAATCTGTTATTCAACTCCTGCAATTGTGAATCAATTATGCCATAAAATATATCAATCTGATAGTGGTGCTCAAGTGTAATATTCTCTTATGGCTGACGTGACTGACCCTTAATTTTTTTGGTATAAAGAACACTCAAATCAGGCACATCAATGTTGTGGTACTCACAAAATGATTTAACAATATCAAGTAACTTGTTCCAACCATTTTCTCTCAATTTCAGAATGATTTATTTTGTACTCGAAACCAATTGCATAGCATTTACGATGTCTTGATCTTTTTGTTGCAAAGCTTGACAAAGGATATTAGTTATTCCCATGATATCTTTTATCAAATGCAAAATAAACACAAACTGCAATGATCTAAGAGTATTAAAAGCATTATCAGCATCTCCCCGGATCTTGTAATTACATCCATCTTCAATGAGGTTGTTAAGAACTGAACATGTTAGACGAATAACCTTATCAAACTACAAACAGAATCAAAATGGGAGCTCCAACGAGTATCTATAGGTCGTTGCAAATTACCAATCTGATTAGCTCCTTGGCCGGTTTCAAGTTCATCAAGATCTATTAAATGGGCAATTTCCATAACTTGAGCAGAATGTAATTCATCAGTTGAGAAGCTCCGATGTTATTGATAATGAAGTTCAAGTTTGAAAAGAATTGATGGACAACGATTACTTCTCTAGATGCGGCAACTAATGTTAGTTGTAGTCGGTGAGCTAAGCAATGCACATAATATGCATAAGGACAATCATTAAGAAATAATGCTTGCAAACCATTCCATTCACCACGCATATTGCTAGCACCATCATAACCTTGACCTCGGAGATTGTGAACATCAAGATTATAGTGAGAAAGAACCGCACAAAGATCCTTTTTTAAATTCAATGAAGTTGTATCTTTGACATGCACAAGATCAAATAAACGTTCTTGTAAAAACATCTTTATCAACGTACCTTAAACGAGAGCCATTTGCTCTCTTTTAGATTCATCACGAGCTTTATCAACAAGAATACAAAACTTAGCATCGCCAATATCTTCATGAATCTTACTTCTCATTTTTATAGAAAGAATATGCAAAATCTCCATTTGAATTTGTGGCGAGGTTTACTTGGCATTTTTTGGAGCATTTTTAAGAACAATTCTAGTGACATCATCATTATATGACACAAAAGCCTTTGCCATTTCAATGAAATTGCCTCGATTACTTGATTGAAGGGATTCATAATGCCCTCTAAAAGCACAAGCTTGATAAATAAGCCATCGGACCGCATCAATTGTGACCTTCAATCTCAATCAATTATTTGAAACTTGTTTGGAAGTTTGCCTAACCATCACTATATCAATATGATAAGGTTGATTAATTAAGTCCTTGCATGCTCACAAGGTTGATTAATTAAGTCCTTACATGCTCTCTCAACAATGCTATGAGCAGAACATGGACTTCCTCCTACATGATTTAAGAAAGCACACCTATTGCCATCATTAACTTTCTTCCAACTTCGAAATCCTTCACTTGTAAATGCATTGGTTTCGGGATGCCCCATTGGTTTCGCTCCAAAAAGAAAGCAAGGTAAGCAATATGCAACATCCTTTGAAGGAGAATACTCTAACCAGGTAGGAAATAATTTAAACCAAGATGATTGAAATTGACAATGATGATTTTTCGATCCAGAAAGCACAATTTGATATGGCTTCTCTTTGATATAAGCTCGTCGAAATTTATCACGTTCGTCAACGGGAAAATCCCATATTTGACGACGTAATTGTGGATCACATTCTAAAAAGGTAAGATCAACTTTTGTATGTTTAACTCTTAGAGATTTTGGAGGACGTTTGTTATCATGAACCGAAACATCAACATTAGAGGCGGAAGCCGCGGAAGGCACATCATTTTTTTGAAAAAAACAGTCAATAGTTCTTTTTGGCTTCACCATCGTATAACACTGTACCTAAAGAGGGTAATTCAAATATAAAATTTTAATACCTAGGGTTTTACATTGTAATTTAAACCACCGATCCTAAATTCCTAATAAGCATAATTGAGAAAAATAATATTGCACCCTTATTGCATATAAAACAACTAATTTAAAATATAAAAAAGTTATCAACCACAATTATACGCCTGTGCAGTGTTTAAAAAATAAATTGTGCCCCTGTGAAGTGTCTAAACAATAAATTGTGCGCCTTTGAAGTGTTTAAACAATAAATTGTGCGCATGTGAAGTGAGCTTAGAATTGGTATATATAGCAACACTTGCATGACTAATTTCAAGTGAATTTTAGAAAAAATAGGTTTTAGAAGAAAAAAAGTGTGTACCAATTAAGATTTTCAGAGCCTTCGTGTCAGCCCCTGATAGTTTCCCTCGGAATATTATGCAGTTCTGTTCCTTAGATGTAAAAAGTTATAAACATGAGTACTTTAAAACATCAGTACCATTGAGACATAGAAGTTAACAAATTAGCCACAAATCAAGCAGTCAAGCACTTTTTGCTAACACAAAACTTTAACTTTTATGGACTAATCTAAAAAATGGACCAATCGGTAGACAGTAGACTAATTTAAAATCAACAGGTACAATTAGATACACAAAATCAGTTAAAATTCCAACACAAAGTCAATTACAGAGTCAAATTCAAAGAAATAAGGACCATAAGGTGACTTGTAGAGATAGATTCAATCATTCAAAGAAATAAGGTGTGCTTAGTACCTAGTCAATTAACAATTACAGAGTCAGAGAGAGAAGATGAGTACAAAAAAGATAAAATAAGGATTCTGAGGAGTGAGGACTGCAACTATTAGCCGACCGCCAACAGTGATGCAAACAGCTTGTGACTTTGTATGAAGGTGGAGGAGAAGATGAAGAACAGAGGGTTAGGGCAAAAGGCAACTATGGGCTAAATGTTTTGAGGGTAGGGGGGCCAAGTGTTCTAAAATAATTTTTTATTTTTTATTTTTTTATTTTTTATATGTATACTAATAAAAAAAAAAATAAAAAAAAAATTGGGGGCCAGCCCACCCCTCCCTCCGCCCCTGCTAGGAATGAAGCTCATTTTATGTGTGATAATCATGCAAAAAGTAAATCTCTTACTTTGGCGGGAGGAATAAGAAGATGAAGAAGCAACCTTTCCCTTTTTTCATTAATTATTAATTTGCAGGTTAATAGTAAAAGTAATTTATTTATCTGAGTCACTACTGATACTTTAATTTTTTTTTTATTTTTTTTTCTTTTCAAATTCATTACAAAAGCATTACAGTAATTTTACATTACAAATTAACTGAGAATTGATGGCTATCTTGTTATATGAGACTTTTTTAGAGATTTTTAAGACTAAGGGTTTTTATTTTATTTTTGTGGCTAAAAATATAGTTTAAAATGATTCATTGCAAAAAAATTATAATTGAGGAGATATTTTATAGTTTGATTTTTTTTTCTTCATAAATTCTGTAATACAGCTTGCAACTTTTTCTAGTTTAACATGTTTCAAGTCTATGAAAAACTTAAAAGAAACAGGAACTGAAAAGCACATGTAGACTTGATTTCTCGGAGCTTTCATCAAAATCTAAAGTTGTGAAGGGGGAATTGAATGCCTGCCAATCTAATTTGGATCCTGATCTCACTGACTTCGAGGTGGTGCTTACTCAGAAGTACTACAAACTACTTTACTAACTAATGAGGAAAGCATTATGAAAGAAACGTTAACGCTACTTTTGGTGTGCATGAATAAATGAAATGCAAGTGAAAATAGAATGACCATTCTCATTCTATTGTTTGGTTGTAAATATGAAATGTGTAGGAATGGAATGATAATAACCATTCTAGTGTTTGGTTGGAACAATTTAAAATTTAGAATATAATAAATTTCAAATTTAGTTATCCAAAATATCCCTCTTGGTAACAAATTAATTAAATTAACAAAATGCATTCTTCTATAATTTTTTTAAAATAAATGGTAGGCAGTGGCAGTGGTGACTATGGTGGTGGAGGTGAAAAGCGGTAGTGGTGTAAGTAGTGGTGTCGAAAGGCGGCAGTGGTGGCAGTGGTGGAAGGTGGCAAAGGCGGTGTTGTTGGAAGGCGATAGTGGTGTTGGTGGAAGGCAGTGGCAGTAATGTGGTGGTGGTGGTGGAAAGTAGTGGAGTTGGTGGTGGTGGAAGGTGGTAGTGGTGGTGGAAAGCAGTGAAGGTGGTAGTGGAAAACAGTAGAGGTGGCGATGGTGGTGGTGGAAGGTGGTAATGGTTGTGGTGATGGAAGGTGGTGGAAGGTAGTGACGTTAGTGGTAGTGGAAGACGGTGGAGGTGGTGGTGGTGGTGGTGGTGGAAGGCGGTAGTGGTTGTGGCGGTGGAAGGCGGTGGCGTTTGTGGTGGTGGTGGTGGTGAAAGGTGGCGGCGACAGAAGATAGTAGCAGTGGTGAAAGGCGGTGGTGGTGGTGGAAGGTGGTTACGGTCGAGAAAGGCAATGGCGGTGGTGGAAAGTAGCGGTGGTGAAAGGCGGTGGAAGCTGTAGTGGTGGTTGTGGTGAAAAGCGGTGGCGGTGGTGAAAGGCGGTGGCAGTAGTGGAAGGTAGTGGCGGTGGTGAAAGGTAATGGCGTTGGCGGCGATGGTGGTTGCTTCAAAGAAAAGCGATGTTGATGGTGAAAGGAGGTGGCAGTGGTGGTGGTGAAAAGCGGTGGGCGATGATGAAAGTCGATTATGGTGGTGGTGGTGGTGGTGGTGGAAGGCGGTGGTAGTGGTGGTGATGATGGTGAAAGGCAGAGGTGGTTGTGGTAAAAGGTAGTGGTGGTTTTTGGACTTGGAATATGAAAGTTTTTTGGAAAGTTGATTTTTTAAAAAATTTTAAGAATTGTCATTTTATAGGTTTAGTTGTGGAATTGATTTTCATTCACATGAATGGATTTTCATTCCAATGGAATGATCATTCACACTTTAAATTGCATACTAAACAAAAGAATGGTTAGAATGGATACTCCATTCTATTCTTGGATACCAAACCTTGTATAAGAGTAAAAGTGGTTGTAGTTTGGGATAACAATACTGCTTACTTTTTCAAATATATTGCATAAAGAATCAATAATAAGAAGATTGTCGACATCGTCGCTTTGTTAATTTTTGTCCCACCTTGCCCCAGTGCTCAAAGTACACCTAGTTTTACAACATAATGTAGTCCAAAAATATAGTCTAATTATACCATACACTTTAGTATTACTATTTAAATATTATGCATAAATATAATGTATATATATATATAATTATTATTATAAAATAATAATCTATATATATAATATCTTATAAAATAAAATAATACAAAATAAAAGAACCTGAAAATAAGTCGAGACTAGAATTTGATTCTATATCCTTAAGACAGATTCGCTCTGTTATGGTGCTAACGAATTCAGTGGCGTCTATCTCCCAGGATACAACAACTTTTACTTCTTTCGGTAGTAACACTGCAAACCAAAGAAATAGGCGAACCGGCTCGGTGTAGTACTCTCTGACTCGAACTCAGATTCGGAGTGACTGACTAAACTTGGACTAGGAGTGATTGACTAAGGCTACCCGCAGACACTTATAGAAGAAGAGGAAGGAGAGAATTCAGAATTAGAGAAAATGATTCTGAATTAGAGTGCTTTGGAATAAACCCAAGGGGGGGTTTATTTAGGCCTCATGGTGCCTTTAGGTTTTAATATTTTTCCAATGTGGGACTAATATTATAAACCCATTTAGGCTTATCAAACACTTACTTTGGAGCTAATTTCTCATTCACCTGGAAACGGATTTGAGAAAGTAAATATACAACGTTCATCTCCTTACGGAGAGGAACGCGCTCGTCTATGGATCCGCAAACAATTCTAAGCGGAATCTATTCAAAATTTCATCCAAAGTTTATGTTTTTAATGCCCCTGTTTCCAACAATCCCCCACATGAATGAAAATTTGTGTAAATTG